TGCATTCCTAAAATTCTCATAATTTCTAGGTTCTCTAGAAAACCTATGAACACCATGATTCCTATATTGACTAGATTTTCTCATCCTATAATTAGTGGGGGTATTGACTATTCTAGATTGAGTCATCTTAGAGTTACTATTATATTTTTGGTATGAATTATTCCTAGCCTTAGTTCTATCCAAAGGTCTTTCTCCTTCTTTTACAAAGTTAACTTTCTTTGGTCCTTTAGATTGATAACCTAAGCCATTTTTATTAAATTGACCTTGTTGAACTATAAAGTGCATGTCTTTACTAGCCTTATTATATTTTCCTAGATGCTCATGCAAGCTAGCTATTTCATTTTCATGAATTTTACATTGTGCACAAGGTGAATCAATACTAATTTTGCCAAGTTCTCTATTCTCAAGTTTTAACACTTCCATCTCTTTATTTAATTCAATAATTTTGGCTTCAAGAGATGTGACACTATCCTTGGCAAGTTTAGCTTCTTTGGTGGATTTAATAAATTCACCATATAGATCACTAAATGCACTATGTAATTCATCTAAGGAAAAACAATCATCAGAATTAGATAAAGGAGTAGTATAAGAACTAGATGATACCTCATCCTCAAGTGCCATAAGACATAAGTTTGCCATTTCTTCTTCATCATTGCTAGTTTCGGAAGATGAACCGCTATTGTCCCATGAAATATAGGCCTTTTGCTTCTTCTTGAATTTCTTGTCCTTCTCTTGTTTCAACATAGGACAATACGGCTTGATATGTCCCACTTCACCGCATTCATAACATTTGGGTGGTGTGGACTTCTTGGAGTTGTCCTTTCTTGGCTTGAAATTCTTCTTGACAAACTTGTTGAAGCGTTTGATAACAAGTGCAAGTTCGAGATTCTCTTCCGTATCACTTGAGTCTTCATCATGGCTGACTTCCTCAATCTCCTTGGTAGATTTTAGTGCAATAGATTTCCTTTGCTTGCTATCAACCGGAGGATAAAGAGTAGATGTCTCATAGGTGCTTTCCCCTTAGTGTATCATATGTCAAGGTGTTGTAGTCTCTTCCTTCACTAATGGCTCTTACTTCGAATTTCCACTCGGGAGTCATGCATCGTAGGATTTTTCGAACCAAATCATGATCAGTGTAGTGCTTACCAAGAGTGTCAAGATTATTGATAATATTTGAGAATCTCTCAAAATAACTATCAATACTTTCATTGGCTTTCATTGAAAATAGCTCATATTCATGAAGCAACAAATCAACTTTAGCATCCTTCACTTGCGAGGTGCCTTCATAAGTTACCTCAAGCTTTGTCCACATTTCACTAGTGGTTTTGCATCGTGAAATCTTTCTATAATCATCAAGATTGACCGCACAATAGAGATAGTTGATGGCTTTGGAATTTTGCATCACATTCTTCTTGTCTCCATCATCGAATTCAGATTCCAATTTGGGTACTCGAATTCCATCAACTACTTTGTATGGAGTAGTGTCTCCGTATTTGATCACCATCCAAGCGTCGTAGTCGTTTGATTGAACAAATATCCTCATTCTTTCTTTCCAATAAGCATAGTTTGTTCCATCAAAAAGTGGAGGACGAGTAGTTGATTGTCCCTCGGATATTCCTGCTTGAAATGCTCTTCCGGCCATGATCGAGTTTCCTGCGGTAAAACTATGGAAAACAACAGGCTCTGATACCAATTGTTACACGCCTTTCACACCTACAGAGGGGGGGGGGTGAATAGAGGTGTTCACGAAAATAATAAAATTTTTCGTTTAAAGAAGAAAAAGGGCAGGAATAAAAATAAAAGATTAACGGAAACAATGAAAGCGAGGAGACAATGATATATCCTGGTTCGGCCTAATGCCTACGTCCAGTCCCCAAGGCAAACGTGCCTGAGATTCCACTAATCCTTGTTAAACTTAACGGAGTTTAACAATCCGAATACAACTCGAGAACTTGATTTCACAAGCCTCTAACCTTTCCACCGAAGTCTTGATTTCACAAGACTTTGGATTTCAATCCAAAACTTGAATTATTTCAAATTCAAGTTTTTACAATTTAAAAACTTACAAACCAAAGTGCACAGCGAAATTGACTCTTCGAACAAGAGCGGATATGCTGTAGATTACAACCAANATATCCTGGTTCGGCCTAATGCCTACGTCCAGTCCCCAAGGCAAACGTGCCTGAGATTCCACTAATCCTTGTTAAACTTAACGGAGTTTAACAATCCGAATACAACTCGAGAACTTGATTTCACAAGCCTCTAACCTTTCCACCGAAGTCTTGATTTCACAAGACTTTGGATTTCAATCCAAAACTTGAATTATTTCAAATTCAAGTTTTTACAATTTAAAAACTTACAAACCAAAGTGCACAGCGAAATTGACTCTTCGAACAAGAGCGGATATGCTGTAGATTACAACCAAACTTATAGTTTATGGCACACAAAAAACTTTCCAACTCAAGATGAAGAAAGATTTCTAAAATGAAGAACTAGAATATTGAGTAGGAAGATGAGGACTTGAATGAATCTCTTTGTTTAATGAAAGGAATGTTATTGAAAGTGTTCTTGGGTGTTCTACTATGTTGAAAAAACGAGATATGATTGAATAAAAGAGATGGGGATAAAGTAACTTCCAAAAAGATTCAAAAAGTGTCCGTTAATCTGTAAAAACTGCCAATTTATTCGAATAAAACACAATTTATTCGAATAGTTTGGATAAAATATGATTTTTGAGAACACAGGGCTTATTCGAATAATTTCTGGATTTATTTGAATAAAACAGAATGAACTGCAAATTGGGAGCCTACTTATTCAAATAAATAGTCATTTATTCGAATAGTTTTCAAAACTTTGGAAAAACTGGAATCAGCCCTTATTCAAATAAAACAAACATTTGTTCGATTAAAACAGACTGAACTGCAATCTGCAGAAGTCCATTTTATTCGAATAAATTGATATTTATTCGAATAAAAACCTGGGAAGAAACATTTTTGAAGAAAAGTTTTGAGAAAGAGTTTTGAAAACAATCAAATAGGAATTCTTGTAGGAAAAACAAAGTATTTTAAGAATAAAGATGTGCCAAACACTTTAACATGAACTAAGACTCAAAAGAAATAAAAATCTAGAAAACCTTTAATCTTCAAATCTTGTCTTGAATCTCTAAGCAACGTGCTAGGCAATCCACATGAAAAGATCCAAATTTAAAGCTCATCCCATATGCATGGTTGTCATTATCAAAACACAAGTGTCAACACCTTTTAAACAAATTGGTTTCACAAGACTTAGTAATTGGCATCCCAAAACTTAAGTTTGAAAAAGACACCATATGTGATGCATGTCAAAAGGGGAAGCAAGTTCGGGCTTCGTTCCAACCTAAAAACGTTGTTTCAACGTCTAGACCGCTTCAACTTTTGCACATGGATCTCTTTGGTCCTTCTAGAACGAAAAGCTTTGGTGGCAATTAATTTGCGTTTGTGATTGTCGATGACTACTCTAGGTTTACATGGACCCTGTTTCCAACTCATAAAAGTGAGGCATTTCACGTTTTCAAAAATTTCTTAAAGAAAGTTCAAAATGAAAAAGAAACAACCATAGTAGCCATAAGAAGCGACCATGGGGGAGAGTTCGAACGGAATCTGTTTTCAGATTTGTGTGACGAACTTGGCATTGATCATAACTTCTCAGCCCCACGTACACCACAACAAAATGGAGTGGTGGAACGTAAAAATAGATGTCTCGAAGAGATGGCCAGAACTATGATCAATGAGGCAAAAATCCCTAAGTATTTTTGGGCAGATGCCGTGAGTACCGCGAGCTACGTGTTAAACCGAGCCGTCATTCGACCGATACTCATGAAAACGCCCTATGAACTATACAAAGGGAGAAAGCCAAACCTTTCCCATCTTCGAGTCTTTGGTTGCAAATGTTTTATTCATAACAATGGCAAAGACAATTTAGGCAAATTTGATGCCAAGTCGGATGAAGGAATTTTTCTGGGTTACTCATTACGTAGCAAGGCCTATAGAGTCTTCAATAAACGTACCTTGACTAT